CATTTTCGGCCAGGTGCTGTGGGTCACACCTGTAACCTCGACACTTTGGGAGGTCAAAGGTGAATCACTTGAGCCCAGGAGTTCAAGAACAACCTGGGCATCATCGCAAAATCCTGTCTCTACAAAAAATAGAAAAATTAGCCGGGCATGGTAGCATATGCCTGTAGTCCCCACTACTTGAAAGCCTGAGGTGGGAGGATCACCTGAGCCTGGAGAGGTCAAGGCTGCAGTGAGCTGTGTTGTGCCACTGCACTCCAGCCTGGGTGACAGAGAGAGACGTTTTCTCAAATAAAAAACAGGCTAGGCACAATGGCTCATGCCTGTAATCCCAGCACTTTGGGAGCCCAAGGCGGGTGGACTCTCTAAGGTCAGGAGTTCAAGACCAGCCTGGCTAACATGGTGAAACCCCATCTTTACTAAAAATGCAAAAATTAGCTGGGTGTGGTGGTGGATGTCTGTAATCCCAAATACTTGGGAGGCTGAGCCAGGAGAATTGCTTGAACCTGGGAGGCAGAGGTTAAGGTGAGCCAAGATCATGCCACTGCACTCCATCCTGGGCGACAGAGCAAGACTTCGTCTCAAAAAACAAACAAATGAACAAACAAAACAAAAACCAAAAACACAAAGTATCCTGCTAAAGTGGAGGTGAAATCAAGGCATTTTCACATAAATTAAAACTGAATTTGTCCCCAGTGAACCTGCTCTAAAGGAAATACAAATGGGTGCTCTTCAGAAAGAAAGAAACTTACTAGAAGCTGGGAGATACAGTAAGAAATAAGAGCTGGCCAGGTGTGGTGGCTCATGCCTATAATCCCAGCACTTTGGGAGGCTGAGGTGGGCAGGATCACTTAGGCCAGGAGTTCAAGATCAGCCTGGCCAACATGGTGAAACCCCATCTCTACTAAAAATACAAAAAGTAGCTGGGCATGGTGGTGGACGTCTGTAATCCCAAATACTTGGGAGGCTGAGGCAGGAGAATTGCTTGAATCTGGGAAGCAAGAGGTTACGGTGAGCCGAGATAGTGCCACTACACTCCATCCTGGGTGACAGAGCAAGACTTCATCTCAAAAACACAAACAAAACAGAAAACAAAAATACAAAGTATCCTTCTAAAGTGGAGGTGAAATAAAGCATTTTCACATAAATTAAAACTGAATTTGTCCCCAGTGAACCTCCTCTAAAGGAAATACACAAATGGGTGCTTTTCAGAAAGAAGGAAAATTACTAGAAGCTGGGAGATACAGTAAGAAAGAGCTGGCCCAGTGTGGTGGCTCACGCCTGTAATCTCAGCACGTTGGGAGGCCGAGGTGGGCAGGATCACTTAGGCCAGGAGTTTAAGATCAGCCTACCAACATGGTGAAACCCCATCTCTACTAAGAATACAAAAATTAGCTGGGTGTGGTGGTGCATGCCTGCATTCCCAGTTATTTGGGGAGGTTAAGGCACCAGAATCGCTTGACCCCAGGAGGCGGAGGTTGTAGTGAGCCAAGACAGTGGCACTGGGCAACAGAGCAAGGATCTGTCTCAAAAAATTAAAAAAATAAAAAAAATAAAAAGCAATGAAAAGGTAAATTTGAAAATAAATATAAATTAAAATGGACTGTACAAAACAACAGTATCTCATGGTACCAAAAGATATAAAATCAAACACACACAGAAAACTCTGAGATCTCTGTGCTGTCCTGGAAATGGTAAAAGTGCTCATTGTACCAGACTTTGGTAAGTCAAGGATGCATGTTGTGATTGCTAGATAACCACTACAAGAGTAGCCATCATGCTAGCAGAGGGGAAGAGATGCAACAGGAAAAAGCACTCAAACCAAAAAAGGGCAAGAAAGGAGAGAAAAGTAAACACGAAAAGCAAGATACACAGAAAGCAAGTAAAACAGAAAATTTTAAGTAAATTAAATTTTACATTAGTGTAAAAATAAGACGTTGAACAAGTTTATTATAAGTCTATCAGCTAACATTTAGATCTACCTTTCACTACGTTTTTTTTTTCTTAAGACTCCACTGCTAGTCTTAAAACCAACTGTTCTTAATAAGTATCTAATGCTCATCTGTACATGTCCTAAATTAGAAATAATTGCCAACTTAGTGGAAAAAAATGTAAATGTTAAAGTTCTTTTTATTTTAATATCAAAAGAAGCCACAAAACGCGTGTGTGCACACATGGTACTTTGATGGACATTATACAATTTCCATTAAACGAGCTTACTTCTGTTCTTGACCTTGAGGAAATTATGATTTAAGATGAGCAGAAGAAAACATGAACGGTAAATAGCTCTGAAGAGCATCTGATATTGCAAATATTCCAGGGACTTCTTGTTTACAGAAAGTGACAGTTTTCATCATTGGTGACTCTAGTAAGAGCCTTCATCGTCGGTGTTAATGCTGCTCTGTTCAAGCAGTGATTTTTCAGCGGCAGTACATGGGAGAGTCACCTGGACAGTTTCAGGAACCAACGCCTAGGTCCCATCCCACACTAACCGAAATGGAATATCCTAAGAGTGTGGGACTCTTGGTATTTTTTTTTTTAAGGGGCTCAGGTGATTCTAATACGTAGTTCATAATTGCTCAGGGCAATGAAAATGTAACTTACAGATATAAGTGCTTGCTCCTGTCCCCCACAGATTAAAATACACAATGCAGTAAAGATACTTGGTGAGATGTTTAAACACGTACCTGTGCTTGCACATCACCTTTTTCAGCTAGGAACTGGTAATATTGAATCAAATCTTCTTCTAGCATTCCACTGTTCATTCCTGGATTTTCCACTTCATCAGGCAGCCGTATTCTCTGTACTACTGAGCCTCCTGTTAGTGAGATATCACTAGCAACTGAAATAGAGGGATAAAATAATAAGATTGAGGAAAATCAGAAGAACTGTTCCAGAGAGAAGTACAATTCTAGCTGCCAAACGCTGACGAACACTATGTTAAAGGAATCTGTTTTTACGGTAGTCTATATAGATCGCAAATCAGTAATCTATTAATAAATTGAACTTTTTTCATAACATAAATAGAACCTAAAGCAAAAAATTATATTAAAAAAAGTACTTCTGAACCTTAACTAGTTTAAAGATGAGTCTACATAAAACAGCCATTTATAACACTTCCAATAGAACAATAAAAATAGAAATGTTTAAAGTTAATTTCATTTTTTTTTTTCTTGAAAGATAAAAGGGAAAACATAGATACCATGATTGGCAACAAGACGATAGTGAGTCAGTGCAGATTCACAACTCTGGAGGACGCCGATGCCAGCCCAGTATCTGTAACCCTGTAAAACAACTTCATGTGAGGAGGCAGCAGTTTCACGTACTTCAGTGGCATTCTTCGTGGAACAGATAAAGCTAAGTATACCCAGAATTTTGCTGTCATTTGATCCAAGTACACTAACACCTTATTTATGCTAAGTTTTAGGTTTTGAGGTAATTTATTCAGCAACTTCAACAAGAAGGCCATAGCTAAGAACAAAGAAATAAATAATGTAGTTCCTAGAGCAATCAAAATAGATGTTACAAACTTTATTTTTGAAGTGTGTGCATTTTACTTGTAAGAGAAAAATTATAAGGGCTTTTGCTTGGAACCAGTTTTAATCTTAAGACACAATTTTATCAAAAATGAGTTAATCTTCCAAATTAGCAAAGAAAAAGTAACAGCAAAATAGGGAAAATGAGACTATTGGAAGAAGGCAAAGTGCCACTAGCAATAAATGACCAGAATAAATGGGAAGACAGCTAATCATGAAGAGTAAAAAACAGAAAGTAGAGCTCTCTGGAGTCATTCTGCACAAATAACTTCATGAACTTTAACAACCTTTAGGGCACTGTTGCAAAATAATGTATAAATATTTCATGTTCTTTTTCTGTAGCCACTATTTATAAAATTTTGAAAAACTAAAGAAAATTTTTAAAAATTAAGATAATCTAAAAAATGATTCTGACAATTCCAACTCAGAGAAAATTTAAAAAGAGACATTTATCAGATCGCTCTTTTTAGGGGCAATCAGCCAAACTAATCATTTTAAAGAAAAACTGTGGACACCACCGATTTTCATTTACATGTAGATTCCATGTGTTATATCCATTAACAAGAATTTGAAGGAAGTTCAACTGAGTATTTGGTATTAGTACAAGCAAATCTCGATCATGAAAGCTGAAAAAGTTGTGGCTACTATAAACCACAAATTCGCCTGATATTAGTGTTATTAGCCTTCTACTAAAGTCTACTTACCAAAACCATGTGGGCTATTAGATTGCCCCCAAGAGCTCCAAATGTATAATATACAAGGGCCTGTGAAAGAACAAAAAATGTTTAACTGAACACAGGCACACATTTATTCAATTCAAACTGTAATATGCAATAAAGTTTTAATAGTATTACCTTTGCCTGACTTGAATTAACACCAAGTCCAGAGGCATAGAGAAAGCCAAGAGCCTGAAATAAATGATAAAGTAAGAAATCTTGAGTTGGTGAAGGTTTATCCAAGACAGACACAGTTTTATATACTACTAAAAAATACAAGAGTCTTTAAATGCTAAAAGATTTGAATTCAAGTATGTACAAACGTGGATTAAAGAGCCTTGGAAAAGCATTCAGGGTTTTACACATTACACAATTAAATTAAATGTAACATTAAAAAAAATTTTATTTATTTGTGGCCTTTTTTTTTTTTTTTTTTTGAGACAGGGTCTCATTCTGTCATCTAGGCTGGAATGCAGTGGCGTGATCTTGGCTCATTGCAACCTCTGCCTACTGGGTTCAAGTGGTTCTCCCACCTCAGCCTCCCGAGTAGCTGGGACTATGTAGAGGTGTATGCCACCATGCCCGGCTAGTTTTTGTATTTTTTGGTAGAGACAAGGGTTCACTATGTTGGCCAGGCTGGTCTCGAACTATTGACCTCAAGTGACCCACCCACCTCAGCCTCCCAAACTGCTGAAATTACAGGCGTGAGCCACTGTACCCGGCCACAATTAAATGTAACTTTTTTTTTCATAATTGAGATTTTATTGGTTGAAGATCAGTACAGACATTTCAATTTGTACATAATTCTTAACATATGTAACGAAATTCTAAAAAGCCATGTATTGTAATTCTTTTTTAAAGTTATTCCAGTGACTTTCCAGCTTAAAATTTGGAAGCAAATTTTCCTTAAGAGGCTATCAAGTACCAGTATCTTCACATGTTGCTCAGCTGTTTACATAGGGGCCACCAGTTCACAACTGAATAGCATATACACTACATATTCAAATTTGTAATCTTTCACAGCACAGTAACAAAGTTATTAGGAAAACAGGACTACCACAACCAAACATGTTACAGAGTGCACACAATTCTGACAGGGAGCGCCATGATCAAGGAGTGGTTTTCTTTAGGAAACAATTCTACTAAAAAACAACATGAGAATGGAAGTAATTTAAAATGTTCAAGACATTAAATGCAGGACTGACTCCATATTGCCATTTAATATGCTTTGTATTATAGGATATAAAAACTAACCCCCCATGTATGGAATATTAAGCTGACACCCGAGACAGTCAAAGCCTCCCATAATTCAATATCCCACAGTATTTTCTGGTTGTACCAAAAAATAAACCACCAGCAAATGATTTCACCTCTTAAAAAAAAGCATTTACACTTAAAAAATGGGATGAGGTGGGATTCCCTCCTTCTTAAAAATGTTTCTAGAGCTACTAAAAAACTTGCATTTACAAAATAGTTGATAAAAATATTCCTCTGGATTGTACAAGAAGGGAGACAGGGACCACTGGTAAGACATGGTATATGTATTAATCAGACTTGGCTTCTTTCTCTCCTGCTTCATCAGAGGCTGGACTCTCCTCAGTTTTCGTTTCCCCGCTTTCTACAGGTAAATCTTCTTTAGTTTCTTGGTTAGCCACTTCGGCCTGATTTCCCTTTGCTCCACTTTTCCCTTTTGTTTGCACTTTTTTGTCTGAAGCTTCGCTGTTGCCTTTTTCGGTTTCGCTTCCACTTTTGCAGGAGGTTTAGCTGACAACCGCGCCAATCTCCTCTTGGGCTCTTCCTTGGCGGCCCCTTCGCAGAGTTGACCTTCCTCCTGGGCATCCTGGCGGCAGGGAAGGTGCGTGCCGGGTGCCTGTGGGCTGCTGCGCGCAGAGAGCCTTCGCGAAACTGGGCTGCCTGGCCACTACCACTCCTCCCGCAGCGCGAGCTTCTGAGACCCACAGCGGGGGCGGTGGGAGAACCGGATCAAATGTAACTTTATTTTTATTATTTTTTTTGAGACAGAGTCTTGCTCTGTCGCCTAAGCTGGACTGCAGTGGCGCAATCTCGGCTCACTGCAGCCTCTGCCTCCTGGGTTTAAGCAATTCTCCTGCCTCAGCCTCCCGAGTAGCTGGGATTACAGGTGCTGCCACCATGCCCAGCTAATTTTTTTTTTTGTATTTTTAGTAGAGACGGGGTTTCACCATGTTGGCCAGGCTGATCTTGAACTCTTGACCTTGTGATCCGCCCGCCTTAGCCTCCCAAAGTACTGGGATTACGGGCGTGAGCCACCGTGCCCAGCCAAATGTAAGTTTAAACAACAAATGTTTAGCTTGAAAACAATTTAATATTAACTAGAAAGACAAAGCTGAATACATGTAAACATGACTTTATGAACAACCATTATGAAGACAACTCCCATTATCGGTACATCAGCATATTTCTCTATATATGTAGAGAGGAATACGCTATGAAAACAGAGAAGATATGAATTACCAATATAAACTATCCCAGATATAAAAAGAGGCAGCAAGGGGTCAAGTTGAAGGGGTCAAAGGAGAAAGGCTGCTCTACAATGTTAGAGCACACATGATTTTCTAAAAATAAAAACAAAAAAATGGAACAAACAATGTACTGCTGAAGTTCAACCTTTTCAATCCTTTGCCTTCTGTGGATCGTCCTTGTTGTTGGAAAGTATAAGCTAACGTGACAAAGGCAGGTGTGGCAGAGACTGCAGTGCTCACTGAAATCATGAGCTCCTCTACATTCCCAGCTTCTCTGGAGAATCACATGCCTGGGATATGGCTGTCAGGGATATAAGCCTGAAAACATCCTATTGAATCCTGAGGCTCTCTTTTCTTACTTCATTGTGGCGTGGAAGCCCCGTGTAGCAATCACTGTACATAACAGAAACAGCCCATGACCAGGAGTCACTATTCAGAAAAGAGTGATGCCAACAGGAGAGCTACATCAAATCTAGCATGAGCAAGAAACAACTGTCTGTTATTTCAGACAGTTGCAGTTAAGCCACTGTGATTTTCAGGTTTTGTCTGTTGCATCAACTAGAATTAATTTTCATGGAGAGAATGCTTTGCAACATATAAAGTGCTGTGGTTTTGTAAGGTTCTAATATTAGAGGGAACTGATGCCTTATAAAGTAAAACCATTCTTCAGAGCAGAACGCCTCTGAAAATAAAGAATATATATGTTTTTATATAAACTGATTCACGCAAAGAAGGGAAAAAGCTTTGAAAACAAAGGGGAACCATTAAGACATAATCTGTTTATAATAAAATACTGAGGAAAGAGCTGCAGAATTGTTAGGTATTCAGTTCTAAGAAAACAATTGCTATGACTCCTGTTATTGGTCATATAGTTTGAAAACAGGCTTTCCTCGTGATTAGGTATTTCATTAATCTTTAAGCAAGTCTCACAGCTTGAATAAACTTGAATTACTGAAGGAATTTTAAATAAATATGATGGTCCCCTAAATCCAGGTGTCAATCTTAGCATTATTAATGGGGAAACAACCAGATATGTTATCAACTGATGTGATACAATGTAGAATACAGAACATCCCTTGTAATGTAGTCTGGCCAAAAATATTTTACTTGTGTTCATCAGCTTTTAGCTGTGACATCCTATTGACAGGAAATACAGGTGATGAAGAAACAAACTAAAAGCCACCATGAAAAAACAAACTGAAGTAGGATATTCCGCAGAAAAACTGTGCCTATCTCTAATACAGACAAAAAAGGCACTGGGGTATACTAGATAACAACAAAATATAAGGTCGAGTCCTGGATAGAATACTGGTTTGGACAAAACAGGTATAAAGAAAATTTTGGGGTTCAACATCATATGAACATAGTGTGGATATTATGTGACTTAAAATGTGCTGGGATGAAAAGGTAAAGTTCTAGAACAATAGTGATATCTCATTTTAATAAAAATATGTGTATATATACATAAAGAGAAAGATCTATTATAGAAGGATATGCATGCACTAACACATTATTACTCATATTTGGGTGGTACATATGTGATGTGTACTTCTTAGTTTTGTTAGTTTGTATTTCTAGTTTCCTGTAATGGACATGTACTGCTTCTGTAATAAAATACTTTTAAAAAAAAAAAACCAAGATTAACAAGAGCTGCAACATCTGAACTTTGGAAAAATGCAATGGTGAGTAATTTCAGATAAAAAATAATTAGCTTCATATTTCATTCTCTACGGATCTAATCTGGAAAACTACAAATGTAATTGTGGCAAGGCACAACTGCAAAAATGTCTTCATTGACTATAAATGTTCCCAGACTAAGGAAAAAGACTATCCAAGAAGACTGATAAAATGGTTAGCCACAAAATTAGTATTTAAAGATACTTTATCTTCCAGTCTGACTTTTTAAAAGAAGTCAAGACATAAGAGAGTACATTGCTTTTAAAATGAACAAGTGCTACATGCAGAGAGATTCTTCACTGAGAATGTACTTACAGTCTGTCCCTTGGGAGAGCCTTCCTCAGTCAGCTTCTCAAACATCTCTCTTGCTGCCTGGATATTCTGTGGCAAGTAATCACCAAATAAAAGAGCATATGACACTCTCTCCAGGGCTTTGGTATGGTTCATGCCCGCTGCCTTCTGAAGATACCGATAAGCTCTTTAAATGTAAACAATTAAAAACCAAATTAGTAATGTTCTGAAACTGCCGTTTTTTTGATCTACTAAAATGCAGCATAATTTCCTTATGTTACAAAACCCCTTTGATAACCTTTTGAGATACGGAGTTTCACTCTTGTTGCCCGGCTGGAGTGCAACGGCATAATCTCGGTTCACTGCAACCTCTACCTCCTGGGTTCAAGCAATTCTCCTGCCTCAGCCTCCTCAGTAGCTGGGATTATAGGTGTGTGCCACTGCACCTGTCTAATTTTGTATTTTTAGTAGAGATGGGGTTTCACCATGTTGGTCAGGCTAGTTTCAAACTCCTGGCCACTTCAGCCTCCCAAAGTGCTGGGATTACAGGCATGAGCCACTACGCCCAGCCACCCCCTCTGATAATCTTATTTCTATTTGGTCATGTTGCTTATATATGTAAAAAACATCCTGCTTTTTTATTAAAAAAAATTTTTTTTTGAGACACGGTCTTCCTCTGTTGCCCAGGCAATCACAGCACACTGCAGCCTCTTTACCTTCTAAGATCAAGTGATCCTCCCACCTCAGCCTCCCAAGCAGCGGGACCACAGTGTGCACCATCATGCCTGGCTAATTTTTAATTATTTTTTTAGAGACAGGGTTGCACTATGTTGCCCAGATTGCCTGGCTATTTTGTTTTTCATATGAGGTACCAGTTCTCCCTGTTATCCTAATATCTTGAAATAGTCTAATTATACTAACAGTAATTCTAAAAACTTCTATTAAAAAAAGTTAACCAGATTTGCAGTAAGACATTACAATATGATGGTGTCCAGTATACGATCTAAAAATAACCATTGCAATTTTCTTTTTAAACCTTTGCAGACTGTAAAAATGTCAGCTGAAATTAAAAGGACATAAGATGTTACGAGATAATCACTTGTTCTGTTTTTTTCCCAAGCACAAATTCCTAAATTCCAGTCAAATATTACAAAGCAAAACCAAAAAAACGTACTTGACAACAATTCTTTTTGTTTTATGTCATTTTGAATTACAAATAGTATATGCATTCTTGGTTCTTAGAAACTACTACAACTTGAGTCAATCATTGCCATTTTACTCACTGTTACTGTAATCAGTATGTGTAACAATTTTACCTTTAACAAACTAAAGTGTGGTAAAAGCAATGCTACTAATGCCCGCAAGTCATATTACGTTTTCTTGTAATGGAACTTAAAAAAATCTTCTGTGTCTCTGGTAGTCCATTTTTTAAATAATGTAGTTGCTATTTGTCTCAGTAATGGCCTGTCTTGGGGAAAAAGTGGACTTAGCAGTGCTACCTACTCTCTTTTTTGGCTTTTCTTATTGCTTCCATTAAGGATTTTCATTCCAGTTTGATACATCATTTCTGCTTCCTGCATCTGCCGTCTCTTAGCAGCCTCTTCTTCAGCTAAAAACAAAATGTCACATGCATTTAAATGGATTTTAATTCTACACCAATTATCAACCATAAGTATTTATTCTTTCTTTTGGGCAGTCATACAAACGTAATGAATGATCTTTCACTATTCTCAAATACGATCCTAAAAACGCTTATGTGTGGCCTTTACATGACACAAGATAAAACTTAAAAAAAATATATATATATATATAAAAAATTCATTGAAATCACTTTCTTATAGAAATACCAATACCAAGCTACTCTTAGAGGGTACTTTTCTGTTAGAAATGCTAACTTTTAAAAATATAATTCAACTAAAATTTCAGATTATATGTGATATGGTTTGGATCAGTGTCCCCACCAAATCTCACACTGAACTGTAATCCCCAGTGTTGGAGGTGGGGCCTGGTGAGAGGTGACTTAATCATAGGGATGGTTTCTCATGAATGGTTTAGCACCATCCCCTTGGTGCTGTTCTTGTGATAGTTAAGTTCTCACGAGATCTGGTCATTTAAAAGTATGTGGCACCTTGCTCCTCACCATCTCTCTCGCTCCTGCTCTCACCATATGAGATGGCTGCATCTCACATGGAAGTTTCCCAAGGCCTCCCCAGAAGCCAAGCAGATGCCAGCATCATGTTTCCTGTACAGCTTGCAGAACCGTGAGCCAATTAAGCCTCCTTTCTTAATAAATTTCCCAGTCTCAGGTATTTCCTTATAGCAGTGTGAGAATGGACTAATACAATATGCCAAGGTCAGCTAAAATAAGGTCCGGACATTAGAACACAGTAGTCAGAAAAATGCTGTTATATCCAAAGGACACTTCAGCTCTATTGGAAATACTATATATCTTTATGAGGATAAAATATTTGATTAACTATATAATACAAATTAGTAAAAAATTGATTTTTATTAAATATAGAAACTGATTTAATGTTTAAGTTCACCAATTTTTCAAAATCATATAACACTGAAAATCACAG